TGGGCCTCCTCCTCCCAGGCGCGGTCGAGGAGGGACAGCCGGTAGAGGATGCGCGCCATCTCCTGCCTGCCGCCCGACCCGCGACGCCGCGCTGACGGGCGCGCGTCGATCGCGGTCTGCACGCGGCCCGAAGTCCTGCGCCAGGCCCGCGGCGGCATGGGCGGGCACGCCCAGCATGGGGATGACGCGCGAGACGCAGCGGCCCATCCACCCGCCTTCGTCCTTGCGCGGGCCGGGGCTGCTCGGGCCAGATGCCCAGCTCCGCCCGCGCGCATCCCCCCAAAGCCCGCGCATCCACGCGCGTTGCCTCGCGCCGCTCAGGGCCCAGGTCGACCCGGGAGCTCTGGGCCGCCCCCTCAACCGAAGCCGCCGACGTCGCCAGTTCGAAGCTGCGAAATGCACTTGTCCAGTCGCATCAGCTTCTCGCCCTTGCAGCTCGCCTTGGGCCCCGCCATGGGTCGAGCGCGCGCCCGGGCCCCGTGGCTGAAGCTCGGGTGGGCCCCGCGGCCCCGGAAGGAAACCTCGTCGCCAGGGTCGTTCTGGTGCGCCCAGACAAGCGCGTCCTCAATGGCCGCGCAGAGGCCCTGGTTCGCGTTGGCGAGGTCGTCGAAGCCGCCGCCCCGGTCGATCTGCACCCGCGCCGCGTCGTGCCCCCGCGCCTTGTCGGGCGGCGGCCCGAAGGGCCGAAGCCTGGGGAAGGCCGCCGGGCCAGTCGCCGCGGCACCTCGGATAACTCGACAGCCGCGCGGGGCCTGCAAAGGTCTCGGCCACGTCGAGGCGCTGGCACCCCGCGGCCCGACCCAGCATCTCAGCGCCGACGATGAACCAGTCCAGCTCGGAGGCCCCCATCTCTGGAGAGAACGGCAGGCGCCCCCCCCCCCCCCCCGACTCGAGGGCGCAGCCCCTCACCTTGCCGAGCCAGCGCGCTGCGCGCTCGCGGAACCTGCCGGGCTCGACGTTCCAATCGCCTGCCAGGATCCGGGCCCCCCCGCGCGGGCGAGTAGCACGCCCGCGCCCTGCGTGACTTGCCGCTCTCGCCCGCGTCATCGCCGCCCAAGCGCGGGGCCGAGCGAGACACCGCCAGGCGCGGCGCCATTTGACGCGCGCGGCCGCGGCCCTGCCGCCGCCCCCGCGGCAGCCCCCTCGGCGCCTCCGCCCCCGGGCGGACTGCGACGCCCGCGCCGCCGCTGCGTGCCCCACGCTCATTCGCCCCAGCAGCCATGACGCCTGGGGCGCGGGCTGCGCTCCATCCGACCTGGCGGCGCCACTGTTCCCGCTCGATCGCGCGGCAGCTGCAGGCGCGGCGACCCCGGCAGCAAATGGCGCCCCCGAGGTGAAGTTGAGACACCAGCTCCTGCCAAGGGTCGCTCTACTCGCCCAGGCGCGCGGGCGAAGGGCCCCAGTCGCTGCCATTGAGGCCGACGATGGCGAAGCAAGGCTCGCCACCCACGCCCTCCCCCGAGACCCGCTGCGCGGAATCCCTGTAGAAGTCTGGCCGCGCTGGCCCGCCGCAGGGCGGCGGCCCTGGCGGCTGGGTCGCCGGGCCGCGCGGCGCCTGCTTCCGCGCCGGCCCCCGCTGACCCCCCCCCCTCGTCGCACTTTCCCACCATGAGGTCGTCGACGAGGGCGCCCAGAGCGGAGTCCTCGAGGTGCAGCTCCCGTTCGTCCTCGCTGGCTTCGCCTCGCTCCGCAGCCGGGCCCGCGGCTGCAACCCCGCGCGCCAAACGTCGAGGTTCGCGCACTCGCGCCCCCCGCTCCCTGGTCGAGGGTAGCGAGGAAGGCTTCGGCGCTGAGCATCGATGATGTCTCGACTCCACGGGCATCGCTCGCCGCTGCCGGGGTTGCCGCTGCCGTCGCTGCCCCAGCGCCCGTGCCTCCTCCTGCGCCCCAAATCGCCTAGGTGAACGGACGTGGGCTTCTCCTCAGTGAGCTCCAAGTCAAGTTGCTCTGCATCACGACGCTCGGCGGCAATGACCTCTCCCGCGCCTTCAACGCCATCGAGCTTCTTGATATCGCTTCGTAGCTGGCTGAGACGACGTACACGCCCATCTGTGGCCTCCTTCTGGGCGACGGCTGCATGACCTGCTCCGACGTCGCTGCCGAATGCGTTTCCTCCCGCTTCGAGCGCATTGACCTTCCGTTGCAAATGGTTGAGCTCGCGGCGTCCCTTGGCGCCCAGCTGCGGCACGCCACGCCGCTATGAGCCTCCAGATCCTTGCTCCCGCCAATCATATCCGCAGCTGCGACAGACGCGCCTGGTGCCCCAATTCTTCTTGGCTCCGCACTGCGGGCAATCCCAGGCTCTGGGCTGGCTGCGTGCGCCGCCACGGCCGCCTGTCGGACCGCCGCCCGGTCCGCCTCCTCTGCTGGGGCGCGCGGCATCTCGGGCACCGCCGCCGCGTCCTGCCACTGGTCGAACCCGCGAAAACAAGGCCCCCAATCGGGCGACTGGGGTCTGGCGTCGGAACGGTCATGGAGATCAAAGGCCTGTGGCCGCGAAGGCCTCGCTGAAAGCTTGGTCGATTTGGGGCCTGACCCGAGAAGTGACGCGACGGCTAGGACCAGCCACACTGGACAAGACACCTGCCCTGATCGCGCCATCTGAAGCCAACATGGATACAGATGACGATAATGATGATGATGGTGATGATGATGATGATGATGGTGATGATGATGATGATGAAGATGATGATGATGATGATGATGATGATGATGATGATGATGATGATGATGATGATGACGGTGATGGTGATGGTGATAGTGATGGTTATGGTGGTGGTAATGGCGACGACGACGACGACGACGACGACGACGACGATGATGATGATGATGATGATGATGATGATGATGATGATGATGATGATGATGATGATGACAATGGCAGTTCTGACACTGGCAATGATGATAGCGGCCGTGCTGACGAGGATACTGAAGAAGAGTGTGCGCCCGCGGAACCCCCTGCATCTGGACATGGCCTAGTTGTAAGCAATGGGGTTTCCAAATGTGTCTGAATACGGCTGCGCTGAGATAGCGAGAACGCCAGTGGTATGGGAAGACGTTCGACGTGCGCGCGCGGCGGACGCGCGCGCGTGGCCCGCTTGGCATTATTTGGCAGAGTGGTGGTTCAACGATGACTAAAGATCTCTGCTTGTCTTAAGACTTCAGCGAGGGAGCGCGCAACATTATGGCAGGTTCTCTGTTGGAAAACCTAACTCTCTTGATCGTGAATGACTAACCATGTCCTGAATCTGCGCTCACAAAAAGGGAAAAGACAAACAACAAATAACAAAAAACGTCGAATGATTTGGACGTGCGCGCGCGGTGGCGCGCGCATGTGCCCCGTAATGTATGTGTTACCATGGGTTACTGGCGAAAAAAGTCCTGATACCAACACGCGCAGCGCACTGCTCTTGTTCCGACCGGGATGAAAAGGGGGGGTCGATGCTGGGACCCCCTGGACTTGTACTGGCCATCGCTGGACGTCGATTCCCTGTGTTTTTGTTCGGTTTGGTGCGTGGCCTTTTCGCCACATGATCAAGGATTCTCCTCGATGGTCCTCGCCGAAGGAAACATGCACACCTCCGAGCGATGCCGAGCGTATGCTCTCGCAGGGGGAACGAACGGTGCACCCAGACCCCCGACGTAATGATTTTTTCATCACGTCGACCCCCAGAGGTCTGGACCCTTTCCCCATGACCGGCTTTGCATCCCGAGTCGTTTCTTGACGCTCCCGAGGCCCGGGGAGGGCCCCCGGAGGCCGAAAGTTGGGAAAGACATCCCGTCGTGATTTTTTCGTGACTCGAGGGGGTCTGGGCACGACGCGGCGGCACAGCAGAGGCGCCCGCCCACCGGGGGCATCTGCGCGGCCGCCGCGCGCCGCGAGGAGGAGGAGGAGGAGGAGGAGGCGGGGGAGCAGGAGGATAAGGAGGAGGAGGAGGAGGAGGAGGAGGAGGAGGAGGAGGAGGAGGAGGAGGAGGAGGAGAGGAGGAGGAAGGGAGAGGAGGAGGAGGAGGGAGGAGGAGGAGGCGGAGGGAGGAGGGGCGGGCGCCGCGCGCGACGCCTCGGCCCGCCCGCCCCCGGCGCCCGCGGCATGCCCGCGGGGCGGCCACGGGCTGGCACGCGAGGCGACACCCCCGGGGGCACGCCCGCCCGGCGCCCCCCACGGGGCGCCCACGGGGCGCCTCCACACGCACCCAGCGCACGAGGCGCGCCCCAGACCCCCTCGCGTTGTGAGGAAATCACGACGGGAGGTTTCTCGCTACTTTCGGCCTCCGGGGGCCCTCACCGGGCCTCGGGGCCGTCAAAAAGCGACTCGGGATGCAAAACCCGTCCCGGGGAAGGGGTCTGGACCGACTCTGGGGGTCGACGTCATGAAAAAATCATAACGTCGGGGGTCTGGCGCACGAGGCGCGCCCGAGGGGCGCCCATGGAGGCACGGGCGCCCACCAACCGGGCACCAGGGCGAGACCCCGGTGTGCACCCATCCAACCCAGACATGATCGCGTCGAACAAAAAAAACTGGGCGGGAGGTTTTTGACGATTTTCGGCCCCCGGCCCCGGGGGGCCGTCGCCGGGCCTCGGGACCGTCAAAAAACGACTCAGGACGAAAAACCGGTCCCGGGGAAAGGGTCGGGGCTTCCAGGGACGCCGTCTTGAAAAAATCAGGACGTCGCATGTCTGGGAAGACTCCTGGGTCACACCCGCAAGAGCCCCGAAGCGCGAGCGCTGTTCAGGGACGCGACGGCGTCGGCCTCTCGAGCCACTCTTGGGGGGCCTTGTGGAATCCACTTGGGCAGCTTGGGGGCCTCGTTGCCGTGTGAAAGACATGTCGGAGACCGCTTGGACCGTCTGGATACGTCTCGGGCCATTTGGGACCATCTTGGGGCTTTCTTGGGCCGTCCTGGACGGGGCCGCGCCGGGGCAGGCCCGGCCGATTTCCAGTCACTTGAGCGAGAGCCCTGCATCTGGTACGCGCTCGCCCCCCGGACTGGCATACATAGATGACGTTGGGCTCCAGCTTCGCCTCCCACATCGCACTGAGCACCGACAGTGCATATTGCCATTGCCCGCCTTTTCGGCATGCGTTGACAGTCGCAATGTATAGGCCTGGCCAGGGTTGCACACCTAAATGGAAACAGTCGTGCAGTAACTGCACTGCTGCGCACCATTGTGCTGTCCGACCACACTGCTTGATTGACGCTTCGAGGGACGTAGCGCCTTCTCGAACGCCTCGACCGATGTCTAGCATCCCAGCCACCGCGGCGGCTTGAGCGAGGAGGGGGAGGGAGATGAGAGGGAAAGGGAGGAGGAAGGAGGGGAAGTTTCTTCGGGCGTGGCCTGACGTCTAGCCTCGCACCCCAGCAGCAAGCCCGCCCAGGGGCGGCGAAAAATGGCCCCGAGGCCGAGCCGGCAAGCACAGCGAGTGCAACAAAAAGGCGCGGCCAACACACAGCAGGATCAGCATGAGGAGGAGACGATCCTCGCGCCAGAACAGCGGCAGCACGCCCGCGGGACCGAGCGAATCACCCCACGAGGGAGGGATGAGAACGCGGAGGGGAGGCGCGAGCGCGCTCGGGGCGAGCAGGTGGGAGCCTGCTCTCCTGCTCTCCTCCGAGCCTCTCCTCGATGCCCGTCCTTTCTCCACGATTCCTCCTCCTCCTCCTCCTCCTCCTCCTCCTTCCTCCTCCTCCTCCTCCTCCTCCTCCTCCCTCCTCCTCCTCCTCCCTCCTCTCCTCCTCCTCCTCTCCTCCTCCTCCTCCTCCTCCTCCTCCTCCTCCTCCTCCTCCCCCAGCTCCTCCTCCTCCTCCTCCTCCCTAAGGGCGCGCAAGTCACGCCCCAGAGCCCCAGAGCCACGGAGGGTGGGACGTGCAACATTCGCCGCCAGGAGATGTCCATTCCCACCGCTCCCGAGTCCCTGGAACATGGCCCCACGGAGTGGGTATAAACATGTTCAGAATAAGAACAAGCCACATAGACAGAAACTTCTGGCGCTCCGCGAGGATTTCTTGGATTCGCGCTGGACCCCCCCCCCCCTGGCGCGCGGAGCGCGCCAGGGGCTGCGCTGGAGGCGCCGCCGGGGGGGCCCAAGCGCGGATCCAGGAGATCCGCGCGGAGCGCCAAAAGTTTATGTGTGTATGTGGGTTTCTCTTCTTCGAGAGTCCCTGGCAGGGTGCTGATGCCCGGGACGACCAACCGGGGCGACAGGGGGCGCGGGGACGGGCGCGCGACCGCCGGAGAAGCGGCGGGGGGCCAGCGGTGCCAGGCGCAGAGGCTACTGCGCCGCGGGCGGGAGATGGGTCGCCGAGGTCGCGAAGGCGCCGAGCGCCACCCGCGGCGGCCCCACGGCAGTGGATATAGTCATCTTCTGGCGGCGCACCTCGCACTTCGCCGGGGCGGACAGCGGGGAACACGCGGGTCTCGGGCCCCGCTTCCGGGGCCACAGCTCTGGCCACCAGCGGCGCGCTCCCCCGGAAGCGCCGGCCATATGGCCTCCCTTCCGGCGCTTCGAATCAAGACAGGCGCGCTCCACTGCTCGCAGAGAAAACTGCTCGCAAATGGCCTGGATCCGCCGAGAGGGGGCTTCGGGACACCTTGCATCGAGGCGGACGTCTGTCTTATCGGGCGTTGGCGAGCAGGCACCTCGCGAGCAGTGGAATGCGCTCGGTGAGAATCGAGCGAAGTTCGGCCAGTGCCCATATGCATGCAGTTCTCGCCCATGCCGGCCACCTCCTGCAGAGACAGACTCCTGCCAGATGCCTGAACCCCCATCCGATGGCAACGACGACGACCTCATCCCGCGCCGAGGTCCGTGGAGTCCGCCTGGAAGTGCTGGCGCCAGATCTCATTCGGCTCCCTACGGCTGCCCCGCGGCGTCTCCATGGCGACGCTCATGCACCACGCCAACACCCCCTCCTGGAGCAGGGGGCGGAGGAGGAGGAGGAGGAGGAGGAAGCGGTCGTCATCATCATCATCATCATCATCATCATCATCATCATCATCATCAGCATCAGCATCATCATCATCATCATCACCATCACCATCATCATCATAATCATCAGCATCATCATCATCATCATCATCACCATCATCATCATAATCATCAGCATCATCATCCTCATCATCATCATCATCATCATCATCATCATCATCCGCATAATTCTCAGCATCATCATCATCGTCGTCGTCGTCGTCATCGTCGTCATCATCGTCATAATCATCATCGCCAGCATCATCATCATCATATTCATCGTCATCGTCATCGTCATCGTCATCGTCATATTTATCGTCATCGACATCGTCATCATCATCAGCAACTTCATCACCACCATCATCATCATCACCATCAGCATCATCACCACATCCCTCATCGTCGTCGCCATCAGCATTAACAACAACATCACCAGCATCGTCGTCCTCGTCTTCGTCCTCGTCATCATCGTCACCATCAGCATCAACATCAATATCGTCGTCAGCATCAACATCACCATCATCATCAACATCATCATCAACAACATCACTATCATACCAAATCATCATCAACAACACCATCAACATCAACAACAGCAACAATTCACCATCGTCATCCTCCTCCTTATTATCATCATCGTCATCATCATCTTCAGTATCATCGTCATCCGCATCATCATCATCATCATCATCATCATCATCATCAGCATCATTATCATCGTCATCGTCATCGTCATAGACATCGTCTGCATCATCATTCGCACCGTCATAATCATCGTCGTCATCATCAGCATCACCATCTGCATCATCACCAGCAGCTTCATCATCGTCCTCATCATCCTCATCATCATACACACACTCCTCTTCCTTGTTCTCCTTCTCCTCATCATCATGAGCAGCAGCATCATCACCATCAGCAGCATCACCATCATCGCCAGCATCAGCATCATGAGCATCAAGATCAGCATCATCATCCTCACCAACATCATCATCATATTCATCGTCATCGACGTCATCATCATCATTCTCATCATCAACATAATCATCAACATCAGCATCATCATCATCATCATCATCATCATCTTCATCATCATAGTCATCGTCATTGTCATCGTCATCATAATCATCAGCATCGTCAGCATCATCATCATCGACATCGTCTGCATCATCAGCAGCATCATCATCACCACCATCATCATCACCATCAGCATCATCACCACAATCCTCATCATCGTCGGCATCACCATTAACAACATCGTCAGCATCTTCGTCCTCGTCTTCGTCCTGGTCATCATCGTCATCATCAGCATCATCATCAGCATCGTAGTCAGCATCAACATCATCATCATCAACAACAACATCATCATCATCATCAAGTACAAGAACCAACCACCCACCATCGTCATCGTCCTCCTTATCATCATCAGCATCGTCATCATCATCGTCTTCAGTACCATACTTACACGCATCATCAGCATCATCATCAGCAGCATCATCATCATCATCATCGTCATCGACATTTTCTGCATCATCATTAGCACCATCAGAATCATCGTCGTCATCATCATCACCACCATCATAAGCAGCAGCGGCAGCATCAGCATCGTCATCATCATCCTCGTAATCATACTCACCCTCCTCCTCCTCCTCCTCATCATCATCATCATCATCATCACCAGCATCATCATCATCATCATCAGCATCAGCATCAGCATCAGCATCATCATCATCATCACCATCACCATCACCATCATCATCATCATCATCATCATCATCATCATCATCATCATCATCATCAGCATCATCATCAGCAGCAGCAGCAGCAGCACTCGGGTCTCCGGCGGCCTCTTGCGACGATCTGGGCAGCCCCGGAACGCTCCCGGCGAGGCGCAGCTGCTGGCGGGCCTCCCGAGGCGAGGGAGCCTCCGAGAGCCAGCGAGGGCTCCCGAGCACCTCGGGGAAAGCACGTCCTCCGAGGTGCGGGCCGTCGGCGGAGATCCGGGGACGCGGGCGGCACCCCGCCCGGGGCGCTCGAAGCGGGCGGCGGGGGCCTCGTGCAAGACCGACGGACACGATTCGGCGGCGAGCCCGGGGGGGGAAGTGAGAAGGGGCGGGCCTCCTCAGAAGGCTCGGAAGCCCCCAGGCCTTCTGAGAGGCTTTCTGAGCCTCCCCCGAAGGCACGAAGACCTTCCCGGAAGGCGCGAGGGTTTCTGAGAAGTCCCGCCGCATTCTGAGAAGGCCTTCTCCTTCTCACTTCCCCCCCTCTCTCGCCGCCGAGGAGGGCAGGAGGCTGGGAGGGCAGGGGAGGGGAGGCCAGTGCTTTAGCAGAAGGAGGAGGAAGAGGCGGAGGAGGAGGAGAAGGAGAAGGAGAAGGAGACGGAGAAGGAGAAGGAGAAGGAGAAGGAGAAGGAGAAGGAGAAGGAGAAGGAGAAGGAGAAGGAGAAGGAGAAGGAGAAGGAGAAGGAGAAGGAGAAGGAGAAGGAGAAGGAGAAGGAGAAGGAGAAGGAGAAGGAGAAGGAGAAGGAGAAGGATAAGGAGAAGGAGAAGGAGAAGGAGAAGGAGAAGGAAGAAGGAGAAGGAGAAGGAGAAGAGAAGGAGAAGGAGAGGGAAGGAGAGGAGAGGAGAGGAGCCGCAGCAGGAGGAGCAGCAGGAGGAGGAGGAGGAGGAGGGGAGGAGGAGGAGGAGGAGGAGGGGGAGGAGGAGTGGGAGGAGGAGGAGGAGGAGGAGGAGGAGGAGGAGGAGGAGGAGGAGGAGGAGGAGGAGGAGGAGGAGGAGGAGGGAGGAGGAGGGAGGAGGAGACGTCAAGCATCGACCACGTCCTCCGTGCCACCGGCCTCGGCGCGACCGTTGACGAGGCGCGTCGCCACAGAGGTCGGCAGGCTGCGCCTGGTGCCCGCAGGCTCTCTCGCGCGAGGCCCTGGGCCGTCCCCTGGAGCCTCCCGCGTCGGGGTGCTGGCTGGCACCCGGTGGCCTGCGATCGTTCGGCGGCGAGCGAGCGGGGAGAATGAAAATTCAGCGTTGGGCCCAACTAGGGGGAAAGCAAACCTACCTCGCTTTTGACCACCCTCGCTTCCAAGAGATACCAAACGATGCCAAATTGAAGCCTGTACTGGTCAGGCCGCTTGACGAGGAGGCGCGTGGTATGACTTGGTTTTGTCTGGAAGCGAAAGCGGGGGAGGTAATTCACGCTCTGACCAACGCCATGTTGGACATCCCCCATGGGCGGCCTGCACACGTAAAAGCACATGGCTCCAGTTCGGGACCATCATTCTTAGATACCCCCTGGGTGGCCTGGACACGTGAAAACACACGCGGTTCCAGCGCCGGACCACCATGTCAGATACCCCTCCTGGGTGAGGGGGGTCCAGCGCGGGTCCAAGAACTTCGAGCGGACCTCCGAGCTTGTCTGTTTATGTCATGGTTCGTTCCCCCAGATGCGGCACCAGCACCTTTGGGGCCACGCACCAGGCTGGCTGAGGTCTTGCCAGGGGGAGGAGGAGGAGGGGGATGGGGGGAAGGGGGAGGGGGAGGATGAGGGAGGGGGAGGATGAGGGAGGGGGAGGAGGAGGGGGAGAAGGGGAAGGAGGAGGAGGCGGAGGAGGAGGAGGAGCAGGAGGAGCAGGAGGAGGAGGACCCCCCCCTTCCAACTTATGGTGGTGGTGGTGGTGGAAAGCAAGACCACTTTTGTTCCGGCATGTCAGGCGACTGCGAGGGGGATCGCCACTCAGGGGGCTGAGGGCTCCTTCTGAGGATCATCGCGGCTCGTGGCCTTTCGCGGATGAAGTTGAGCGTCTGGGGGAGGTTCTGGGGACCTTGTTGGGGGTCCCGAGGGGTCGTCCTGGAGATCCTTTCCTCGCTGTTCGTCTCCGCGGGCGCTCCTCGCAAACATGGGTGCAGGTGGGGTTAAAGATGCCTTCGCTGCTGGACAGCGCGCTGGCTCTGCTCCTTCTCCTCGCGGCTCCGTTTCCCAGTTCGTGCTGCAAGCTTCTTGCCCTCAGCGCATGCATGAATGAATGAATGAATGAATGGTGAGGAGGGGAGCGAAGGCATCTTTAACCCCACCTGCACCCATGTTTGCGAGGAGCGCCCGCGGAGACGAACACCGAGGAAAGGATCGCCAGGACGACCCCTTGGGACCCCCGAGAAGGTCCCCAGAACCTCCCCCAGATGCTGAACCTCATCCGCGAAAGGCCACGAGCCGCGATGATCCTCGGAAGGAGCCGGCGGCCACCTGAGTGGCGATCCCCCTCGCAGACGCCTGACAGACCGGAACCAAAGTGGTCCTGCTTTCCACCACCACCACCAAAAGTTGGAGGGGGAGGTGGTCCTCCTCCTCCTCCTCCTCCTCCTCCTCCTCCTCCTCCTCCTCCTCCTCCTCCTCCTCCTCCTTCCCCCCATCCAACGTATGGTGGTGGTGGTGGTGGAGAACAGGCCCATCAACCAAAGTGGTCCTTGTTCCAACAAATTGTCTGCGCTCGCCGGGGGAGGCCAGGCACTCCTTACTGCTGCGGAGCCAGGCGCTGGCCACGGACTGCGGCGGAAGCCGTCGAGAACTGCACCTCAGCGCACAAAAGCGTGGCGGCCATCCCCCCAAAAGAGGCCACGACTGTGAGCATAGATTCTGGGCCACCATCGGGCCGAGCACACGCCATCTTGAGACGAACTGCCTCCTCCCGAAGCTCAGGCTGTCCTGCTCCCTCGTCTCCGCAATCCCGTCCTCTTTCATCCTCCCTCCTTCCTCCTGCAAGTGTCTCCCAGACATCCTGCTTGGCCCCCTCCCCACCCGATCCGTCATCAGCCAGTCTTCGGCTCAGGCTGCCGAGAGGGCCAAAGCTCTCGCACCCGCCTCCTCCCTGCTCCCCCCGCGCGCTCGCCTCCCCCGCGCGCGATGGCAACCCCCAGCCGCGCCGAGGCGGACGGAGTGTTGGCGGCCGCCCGCGCTGCTGGCGCTGAGGGCCCGGGGCGCCAGCCGCGGGCGCCGCTCCCCGGGGGGGGCGCAGGTCGATGGGACCGTGTTGCTCGTGAACGTGGCCACAGAGCGGTACGGTCAGGCTACCGAGCTGAAGGACATCTTCCCAAAGGCGCGGCTCAGCACAGTGGAGGAGCTGCGCTCTCGCGCCGAGTCTTCGGCGTCCCTTGGGGAGTTGGTGTACGAGCTTGCCCAACACCGGCGCAATCCCAGCGGTGCAGAGGCAGAGGAGTCGGCGCCCCTAAGGGTCCGTGCCGCCGTCGGTCGCATCGTGAAGGAGCTTTGCCCCCCTGCAGCGGCCCGGGCAACCGTGCAGACAGGCAGTGCAGCGGCCACTCCCAACGCCCCGCAGGACCAGCTCTGGCTGTTGCAAGCCGCGCCGACGCAGTGTTGTGCTTGCTTGTATGCCGAGTGAAACGTTGTCCGTCACCGTGACCCCTGGCACGTTCAGGCGTCGTAGAATGCCAAATGCTGTCTGGTAGGGAACCCGTATAACCTTCTGAGAACACCCGCCCTCCGCTGGCGTCCAGCTGCATGCATCGCCACCCTTCCCCCGAGGCTCCCTGGGCGGTGCGACGCCCCCCTGGCGTTCCCCAGGGCGTCCCAGATGCCCAAGATGGTTTCCAGGACGGCCCATGCAGGGCCACCAGTGCCGCCAAGATGGCCCAAGATGCCTCCAAGACGGCCACATGCGTCTCCAAGATAGCACAAGACGGTTAGAAGGACTGCCCAACATGCCTCCAGGATGGACCCAATGGACCCCCAATCGGGCACCGAGAAGACCAAATCATTGATTCTCAGCCCTAAGCTGGCCCAAGAAGGCCTCTGGAGGAACCCAAGGCAGCCTTAGAGGGGCCCTCAACGGCCCAGGGCGGGCCCAACACGGCCCCGCGAGGGCTCCAAGAGAACGCCAAGGGGGCCCCAAGACGGCGCGAGAGCCACAAGATGGTACAAGAGGGCCCCAAGACGGCCCAAGAGGGCGCCAAGGGTCCCCTAAGACTGCCCCACAGGAGCCCAAGACAGCCTCAAGGCGCCCTCTACGAGCGCTCCTCAGGAAATAAGAACGACGGAAGTCGCGTGTGACGGCCTCCTGTGCCCCATCGAAGCGTCGACACCCAGAACGCTGGACTGGCACGGTCGCGGGACTTGCCGCAGGCAGCTGGATATAAACAGCGTTGCAAAAAAAAGTAAGCATGTCCAGCATGAATAACAATTGCCAGGCAGAGAGCGGCGCACACACATAGTAAAGTACGGACGTGCGGCTGCGATGGCCAAGTGCGGCTGCGATGGCGTGCTAGCCGATGCCGCTCACGTCTTGCCCGCATTGCCGGAGGCCTCTTCCAGATATTCTGATATTCCAGCCACCTGCCATGCGACGCGGAATCTCCAGCGCGAAGCCCAGGGCGGGGAGGTAGATGAGCAGCTCCATCGGGGACCTTGCCCCGAGCAGCCGGGGCGACCCACCCACCAGCAGCGACATAGCCACGCACAGCCGCAGCAGCATGACGGCGCTCACAAAGCAGAAGCGCCGCCGGCTGATCGCAGATGAACACACAGCGGCACGCGCGTAACAACTGTCGAGGGCCCGCGCGGTTTCCTGGGGTCGGCGCTGGGCCCCCCCCTCCCTGGCGCCCGGAGCGCGAGACGCAAGGAGCCGGAGGCGCCGACGGGGTGGCCCCGGCGCCGATGCAAGCAACCCGCGCAGACCTCCGACTGCTTACGTGCACGCCGCCCTCTGCTCTTCGAGATCGACATCAGCACCTTAACGCGCCCGGTGGATCCCTCGGCCGACCACGCCGCCCGACTGCGGGGGCCCGACCGCCGCCCCGAGCACGGCGGCTGCCTCGCCGAGCCCGCGTCCATCCCGCAGGCAAGCTCGGACGATCGCGTGCTCAAGCCGCAGGGATCACGCGACCCGCGGTCACGTGATCCTCCGATCCCTGCGACCTACACAGTCGGGGCGTTGACCTAAGGAACCCTAAACAGGGAACGAGGCCCCTTTTCCCCATAAGTGAAACTTCGACTTCCGATCGAAAACATAAGGAAAATCTGAGGCAAGCTGTGAAACACTTTTAAGGAACGCGGAGCCCCTCCCCAACCAACAGGGTTCCCGGTTTAGCGCCCCGACTGGAATCGCCGATCGCGTGACCAAAGCACGCACCGAGGTCGGCACCAGCGTGTCCCCGGAGCGCACCAGCTGCGTGGCGCGCCTCGGCAGCACCGCCAGGGCGCCGGCAGACTCCGAAAGGTGCCGCAGCTCGCGGAAGACGGCGAGGCACCAGAACAGCGCCGCGGCCAGGGCCAGCAGCGGCGTGGCCACGCGCGTGCTGAGCAGCGCGACGGCGGCCACCGCCACCGGGTTGCTGCTCAGGACGGCGTCCGAGAGGGTCAGATCGGCCACCCTCCCGAAAAACCACGGGCTGGAAGCGGGCATGGGGTCATGTAGTAATTATTAGTCTTAAGTCGGGCCTGTCCCCCTACACAGGGGGGATTTTCGACGAAACACAGAAGATACCCGAGGAATGGTCAAAAAATAAACCAAAATCAGGCTGGGGACTATTTTTGGATTATGTTTTACCTTTTTGTTGCATTTTGGGGGTATTTTTGTTTTTCGTCGAAAATCCCCCTGTAGGGGGACAGGCCCGACTTAATATGATTCGGATCGCCGCGAGGTCGCAAGAGGCAACGCGGCCCGTGGGCCCCCCCGGCCACCTGGGGATGACCACCGAGCGCAGCTCCTCGGGCCAACTTTGACTCGGGTGGGGGCCCAAAGAATATACACCACCACCACGTCGATTCCTCCTCTCTCCTCTGTCCAGCGAGAGGGAGGGGGGGGAGGGAGGTGGTGGTGTCTATTTTCTGGCCCCCCAAATTGGGGGCCCGGGGCGGCGTGGGCAGGAGTGAATCTCCCCATCTCAAGAGTTCTTCGGGAGGGTCCTGGAGGAACAGCCAGCGGCACAGACGGAAGCTTCCGGAGCTCCGCGCGGCTTCCCTGGATCGGCGCTGGCCCGCCCCCCCCCCCCGGCGCGAGGGCGGCGCCGGCGGCGCCGCCAGGGGGCTCCAGCGCCGATCCCAGGCATCTGCGCGCAGCTCCGAAAGGTTCTGTCTACCCTGAGATCCGACGTTGCCAAAAAATTGCAACATCACAAAAATCACGGCCAGAGACCCGGACCTCATCTTTCCGCGTCGTTTTTCGAGGCCGATCGATCTGTGAGGGGCCCGGGGCCCGAAATCGAGCGAAAACGCCCGTTGCAACAAAAAATTGCAACGCCAGGATCTCAGGGTATGCCGTTGCTCGTTCTTCGGCGATTCTTCACGGCGGCCAGGCGCTGGTGCTCCGAGGCCAGCGCGCCGGCCTCCTCGAGCAGCGCGCCGCCGCCCGCCGCGGCCGCCGCGGCGGCCGCGGCGGCGGCGCTGCCCACGTCCGCTGCGGTCCCCAGGGCGGCGCCCACGACCGACGCGGCGGCCGCCTGCGCGGCCGCCCCCGCGGCGCTGCCCGCCGCGGCGGCGGGCGCGGCCGCCGAGGCCGCCGCCGCGGGAGGCAGCACGGCCGAGCTCGCGAGGCCCGCGCCCAGGGTGTGGCACACCGCGGCCTGCATGCCGACGCTCGACAGCAGGCCCAGCACCAGGATGGCCGTGCCCGCGGCGCCCACGGTCGGCAGGCCGGCCAGCATGATGGCCTCCCAGATCGTCTCGGGGTCCGAGCCGCCCGGGTCCCCGGAGCCGAGGGCGACCAGCTCGGCCCACATCACGCTCTCGCCCAGCTCCTGGCCCAGAGTTCCGGCGCCGCTTCTCTACTGCGGGGACCCCTCGTCTGGAGGTCTGGACCCCTTCCCCGGGACCGGCGTTTCGTCCCGAGTCGTTGTGTTGGCAGCCCGCGGCCCAGTCAGGGCCCCAGGAGGCCGGAAGCTACCAGAACCCGTCCCTCGTGGTCTTCCACGGCGATAGGACGAGCCGTACAACTCGGACCTCGGGCACGGACAGGTCTAGTCCCCGGGACCGTCTTCGCGTCGCGGGAGGAGGAGGAGGAGGAGGAGGAGGAGGAAAGCCATTGGCTGCACAGGCAGCTAGTGGTCAGGTGCTCCAACCTGCCTGCGCAGGTGAGCCTCGCTGGCACATCGTACCACGCCTTTCCCTTCTCTTTCACATACCCCATCACATTTCCCATTTTCGAACGTCTCGTCTCGAACGTGCCAGCATGCGCCATGCTACGGGGGGATGCCCGAGTGCGAGTGCGAGGCGGGCCTTTGCTCCGTCGGCGACCCCGGCAACAACGCCCACAACTGGCTCTCTCCAGGCCATGGACATCGCAGAGATCGGGGCAACAGCCGCCCGTCGCGCGGCCCGGCGCAGGAGGATCACCGCCTGCGAAGCCGCTCTCGAGAAGTTCACCGGCTCCCAGACAGGCAGAGGACCCAGACATGCGACGTCCTGTTTTTTTCAAGTCGGCGTCCCTGGAATCCCCGACCCTTCCCCCGGGACAGGTTTTTCATCCTGAGTCGTTTTTGTCGACGCTCCCGGGGCCCGGCGAGGGCCTCCAGAGGCCGAGAACGACGAAACACCTCCGTCCCGATTTTGACACGACGCGAGCATGTCTGGGGAGTCGCCCAATCCCCAGTCTGAGTCGTTTTCTTGACGGTCCCGGGGCCCGGCGAGGGCCTCCAGAGGCCGAAAACGACGAAACGCCTCCGTCCCGATGTTGATACGGCGCGAGCACGCCCGGGGAGGCACCCCATCCCCAGCCGGGCCGTGCCCGCGCCATCCTGGGAGCTGGGCCGCGGCCTCCGCCCAGGGTTAAGTCGGGCCTGTCCCCCATACAGGGGGATTTTCGACGAAAAATTCGCCGGCCCAACGGGCCAGAGGCGTGCTAAGATCTCCGGTAACTGGTTAACAATTTTCTAGTTCGCGCGCGCGGGGCGGCCCCTGGGGGTCCCCGGACGAAAAGTACCCCGACCAGGTCCCGGCCGGTCCCGGCCGGGTCCCGGCCGGGTCCCGGCCGGGTCCCGGCCGGGTCCCCCCGAGCGCTCCATGAGCGCACCAACAGGGCTCCGAGACGTCCCCGAGAGCCCCAAGAAAGGCCAAGAGGCCCCCAAGAGGCCCCCAAGATGGTACACGAGGGGTCCGACATGCCACAAGATCGCTCCAAGACGCCCAAGATAGCCCCCAGACGCCCCAAGAGGCCTCCAAGAGCACTCCCAATAGGGCCCCCGGAGGCAAAAATCATTGTTTTTCCATAGGTTTTTGAGAGATTTTGGAGCTTCCACCTTTTCGGCTTCCCGACGCCCCAAGACGGCCCAAGAGGCCCCCAAGATCGCCCCAAGAGGGCCCAAGAGGCACCCAAGAGGGCCCCAAGATGGCCCAAGAGGGCTCGAAGACGGCCCAAGAAGCCTCCAAAACGGTCCAAGAGGGCCCCAAGAACGCCCCCAAAGGGGCCCCAGAGAGGGAACACGAAACAACATTTCGAGCCCTCGGCCCTAAGAAGCCCCTACGAGGCCCCTAAGAGGCCCCAAGAGGCCCCCACGGGGCCCTCAGGAGGCCCCCAAGAGTCCCCCAAGCGGCCCCAGGAGGCCCCCCAAATGCCCCCCCGAGCGCCCCAGGAGTCCCCCAAGCGGCCCCAGGAACCCCCAAAGCGCCGCATTGACACCAGGCCCTCGGGCAAACGGCAGACATGAGACTGTATGGGCCGGCGGAATGAGCGAAGCGATTAATCATAAATACGCCAAAAATGAAAAAAAACAAACAAAAAAAAAAAAAAAAAAAAAAAAAAAAAAAAAAAAAAAAAAAAAAACACCAAAAATAAACAACAAAATATTCAATACCCCAAATGTAAAAGAACCCCCGAATGCCCCCAAAATACTTCGAAAAATACCCCAAGCATGAAACATACCCCCCAAACAATACACCAACAAGGTAGAAACAGATGCAAAACATAGTCCCCAGACTACTTGGGGACTATCTTTTGTAAGCCCAGGGCCTCACGTGGCCCGGTGCCGGCCCCGGGGCAACAGGCGGTGCCGACGGCGGCCGGGCCCCGCGGAGCAGCGCCTCGACGCAGCGGCCGCGGTGGCATGGCGCGAGGAGCGGCGGGGAGCGGCGTGGCCTCCCCGAGATCCAACGCACTGAAAAAATCAAGGCAGAGCTTTTACCTAACAGCGAAGACTGATAGGTTTCTAGCAGGGTCAAAACCCAGACCCCCTCGAGTAATGAAAAAATCATGACGGAAGGTTTTCCTTCATTTTCTGCCTCCGGGGGCCCTCACCGGGCCTCGGGAGCGTCAAAAAACGACTCAGGATGCAAAGCCGGTCATGGGGAAAGGGTCCAGACCTCTGGGGGTCGACGTAATGAAAAAATCATTACGTCGGGGGTCTGGGAAGAGAGCATCATGACGCCCCAGGGGGGTCTGGGCGCGATCCGGGGAAGTGCCGGGGACTTGTTTTTTGCCAACAGTTGCACACTTCGTGGTCTTCGAGGCCCCAGAACTCCATTCCCGGGCCACATTCTGAATGCCCGGAGCCAACTGTAGGCCACTTCGTGGTCTTCGTGTTCCCAGAACTCCACTCCTGGGCCA